ACCATGAAGAGAGTAGGGAGACAGCCCACAGAATAGGAAAAAAATATTTGCCAACTGTATATCTGACAAAGGCCTAACATTCAGCATCTACAAGGAACTCAAACAGCCCTAATAAAAAGTGGGCAAAAGATGAATAGACACTTTTCAAAAGAAGACATACAAGTAGACAACAGATACATGAAAAAAAAATGCTCAGCCTCACTAACCATCAAAGAAATGCAAATCAAAATCACACTGAGATACTACCTAACTCCAGTCAAGATGACCATCATCAGCAACTCAAAAAACAACAGATGCTGGAAAGGATGTGGAGAAAAGAAACACTTCTACACTGTTGTTGGGAGTGCAAACTAGTACAGCCTCTGTGGAAAGCAGTGTAGTGATTTCTAAAAGACCTAATTATCAACCCTCCATACAACCCAGCAATCCCCCTATTGGGAATATACCTCGAGGAACTCAGATCATTTTACCGAAAAGATACCTGCACACGCATATTTATTGCAGCACCATTCACAATAGCAAAAACATAGAACCAACTGCGCTGCCCATAGAAAGAGAACTGAATAAAATATATATATATGGTACGTGTACATGATGGAATATTACACAGCCATGAAGAAGGATAAAATTATGGACTTAAGAACAACTTAGATGGATTTTAGAGTCTGTCATACTGAGTGATCTATCACAGAAACAAATAACTGAGTACCACATGTTCTCATACGTGGACCCTGAACATTTATCATAATACTACATGAAAGAGATTGGCAGTAGAGGATAACTGCCATGGAAAGGGGTGGGCACATAACATTAATAAGGGTACCTGATCCCAAACCAGGTGAAGTGAGGACTAGTGGGAGGCCCAGACTTCACCTGAACGATGATCACTTATATGCCTAACCCCACATCTTTAAAAAAAATTAAAAAGAATATTACAAGTATAAGGACAAAATGTGAACAGTGACAAAGAAGACAAGACAGTATGGTATTTATTCAGAGAATAGCTGTACTGCTAGAATAGGGAGTTGCTGGAAGTGGGGTGAGGAGGTATATGGCAAAGATAAGGCAGTGGTGGTAGATTGGGCCTATCAGATCATGGAAGACCTTGAATTTCATGCTGTGGATTCTTGGTAAAGGTGTGTACCATAGGGTTATTGGTTAAGTGTGTAGGATCTGGAGACAAGACCACTTAATCTTACATCTCTGCTCTGTCACTTATTTGTAGCTGTGAGATCTTGGGTTTTCTACCTTCTCTAAGTCCCAGTTTCCCACATTGCCATAAAAGAGTGTGCACTTTCCACTGGTAGCATGCAAGGGAAGAAAATACAATGCCTGAGGATAGAACTGGGAGGATTTTAAATTTATTGTGTATAGTAGTCCCCTCCTTCCATGGTTTCTGTTACTTATAGTCAGCTATAGTGTGAAAATATTAAATGGAACATTCTAGAAACAAGCAATTCATAAGTTTTAAATTGCATGCTCTTCTGGGCTGGACACAGTGGTTCACACCTGTAATTCCAGTACTTTGGGAGTTTGAGGCAGGAGGAATGCTTGAGCTCCTAAAAGCTTGAGAGCAACCTAGGCAACATTGTAATACCTTGTTTCTACAAAGAAAAAAAACCAGAAATTAGCCACTTGTGCTGGTGTGCTCCTGTAGTACCAATACTCAGGAAGCTGCAGTGAAAGAATCACCTGAGTCCAGGAGTTAGAGGCTGTGGTAAGCTGTAATTATGCCACTACACTTCATATAGAGTAAGATCCAGACAGAAAAAAAATAAAATAAAAATTTGAATGCTATTCTGAGTAGCATGATGAAATCTTACACCGTTCTGCTTTATCTCACCCTGGACATCTATTTGTCCAATGTATCCATGCTGTAAATGCTACTTGCCCCTTGGCTACTTAGTCTTGGTTATCAGATCAGCTATTGCAATATTGTAGTGCTTGTGTTCAAATAACCCTTTTTTGTTTACTTATAGTCAAAACAGTGGCTGCAGAGCACAAGAGCAGTGATGCTGGCATATTGTTATAACCATTCTATTTTTTTTTAGTTACTGTTGTTCATTTCTTACTGTACCTAATTTAGAAGTTAAACTCTATCATAAGTATATACGGAGAGGAAAAAAACGTAATATATGTAGAGTTGTGGTTTCAGGCATCCCCTGGGGGGGGTCTTGGAATGTATCCTCTGTAGATAAGGGGGAGACCACTTATATGGTTGACGAAAATATACATGACCACATGCAAAAAGCTTCAGAAGTCTAGGGGTAGAATGAAGAAAACTATTTAATACAGAAGTAAAGAAAAACAGGTATGAGTAAAAAAACAAGATGATATGAAGCTGTGTTTGAAATGATTGCTTAAGCTGGGGGAAAAGCAAATAAAACCATAATAGAGGTGAGTGACAAGAAAGGTAGGGGTGATAGATCAGAGATTGGGCTACAGACGGTAGATTTAATGGGTGTAGGAGAATAAATAATGTTTGTGATTGAAAACAAAGATTTTTAGAACTTGAAAATTCTCAAATAGATCTTTCTAGACTATAACAAGGTTACATTATTAAATGATGCTATATATCATTTATTAAAGTAAAATAAAGATGAAAAAATGTCTACTGATGGAACATGGTAGAATCCGTGGTCAAGAATTATAAATGGAGCCGGGCTCGGTGGCTCAGCCTGTAATCCCAGCGCTTTGGGAGGCTGAGGTTAGTGGATTGCCTTAGCTCGTGGGTTCGAGATCCGCCTGGGCAACTTGGCGAGACCTCATCTCTACAATAAATAAAAAATTAGCCGGGTGTGGTAGCGCGCGCCTGTAGTTCAGCTACTCGGAAGGCTGAGGCGGAAGGATTGCTGGAGCCCAGCAGGTCGAGGCTGCGGTGGCCAGGAGCAGCCACTGCACTCCAGTCTGGGTGACAGAGTGAGACTACTACTCAAAAAAAAAAAAAAAAAAGAATTATAAATGGGACCTAAAAATATTGCTTTTGTAATTTATGGCTTGGTGAAACTGGTGGCATAGAAGTGGTTGGGAGAAATAGTTTAGCAGAGTGAAATATGGTTTATCTACATGTTTTTCCTTTCCTGCATAGTCCGACATAATTGTAAGTAGTTAATGACTTAACTAATAGCAGTCTAAAATGAAACTAGTTTTCTAAGAAATTTTCCATAATTTACTGATGGTAAGTAAATACCACTATATACACACAGTACTGCTTCTCAGTACTTTGTCATTTAGGTACAGTGCAAGGTGTAAATATCCCTTATCTGAAATGCTTGGGACCACAAGTGTTTAAGAGTTTGAATTTCTTTCCAGTTTTGGAATATTTGCATGCTGACTGGTTGAGCATCCTTAATCTGAAAATCCAAAGTGTTCCAATGAGGATTGCCTTTGAGCATCATGTTGGTGCTCAGAAAGTTTCAGATTTTAGAACATTTTGGATATTTAAAATTTTCAGATTTTTCAGATTTGGGATGCTCAACCTGTGTTAGATCTTTCTAAGAGCTTTGATGTATTCTAAATGTGAAATATTATTTATTTTACCTGCTTCTTCTTTGTGGGTTGATCCACAGACTGTAAAAATAATATAGGACAAGTTAAAGATGAGAGATGTTTTATAGATACATACTTATTTTCTTAGATTTGCACTGTCCATTGTGGTAGCTACCAGCCACATGTCACTATTAAACATTTAAAATGTGGCTAGCTCAAATTGAGGTGTGATATAAATATGAAACATATTTTGAACTTTGAAGACTTGATGTGAAAAAAAGAATGTAAATAGATCATAAACAGTTTTTTGTATAGATTGTGTGTTTGAAATGGCAATATTGTAGATTTAATAAGATGTTATTAAATTAATTTTACCTGTATCTTTTTTACTTTTTAATGTGGATATTAAATATTCCCTATGTGACTTGCAGATACTACTCATGTTATTTTCCTGTTGTCTTAGATATAGCATTGTTTTAGATATAGCCAAATGTTTAACTAATTGCTGAATTGTTCATTCTCGGTGGGAAATCAAAAAACAAATTTGATATCTGAGTATGTATGGGGGGCTAAAAGCTTAATGAAATATGCTGTGAATGGATTTAAAAATAAATATCATTAATTTCTTGTTATTTTATTTATTTATTTATTTATTTATTTATTTTTGAGTTGGAGTCTCACTCTGTCGCCCAGACTGGAGTGCAGTGGCCGCTCCTGGCCACCGCAGCCTCCACCTGCGGGGCTCCGGCGATCCTTCCACCTCAGCCTTACGAGTAGCTGGAATTACTACCACGCCCGGCTAATTTTTTGATTTATTGTAGAGATGAGGTCTTGCCTGCTCAGGTGGGTCTCGAACCCACGGGCTCAGGCAGTCCACTCACCTCAGCCTCTCAAAGGTGAGGGATTACAGGCTAAGCCACCGAGCCCAGCTTTCTTGTTATTTTAAAGTTATATCTAATGAAAGTTGTTAATCTTCAGTGATAAAGATTACTAGATACCAGACTTTAGCTGGTTAGTCTTGGTGTCTAAATAGTAGGCCTTTGTTTTTGCCTTATATGGATATCTAAGTGCATTATGGAGTTGTTTGTCCTAAAAGTATCATAGCCTATGGCTAGATTGTATTACCAGATAGACAAGTATTGTGCTTGGTGGTAATTTTGTTTTTTCTTTTCACCTAATTTTAGATTTTCTAAAGCGATGTAGCTTCACTTGTGAACTTTTTAGAAATACTAATATTGACCCCCAACCCCACTGAATCAGAAACTGATGACTGGGCCTGGCAATCTTTTTAACCCTCCAGGTGATTCCGATGCACATAAAGTTTGAGAAACAGGGAAGTACAGTTTCTACCACGTAATTGTGGGCGCTCTGGACTCTGAATACAGAGAAACAGAGTTGTAGATTATTCTACTTTTAGAGAAGTGACAAAACCTCTTTATGACACATCTATTTGAAAGAGATTACATTATTTTCTTTTCAACTGATCACTTGTAAAAATCATACATTCTTAGGTGGATGCTCTTCGATTGCGTTTGGAAGAAAAGGAAACCATGTTGAATAAAAAGACGAAACAAATCCAGGATATGGCTGAGGAGAAGGGGACACAAGCTGGAGAGATACACGACCTCAAGGACATGCTGGATGTGAAGGAGCGGAAGGTTAATGTTCTTCAGAAGAAGGTACGGTGCAGGTGTTCTGCGTTTAGTGGCTCACTTCTCATACGTTTCTACCACTGAATTATACCTAACTGCTGTCAAAGTGTGTTTCTCATTCCTCGGATTGTATCAGTTTATATTTTTGTGATTAGTAATTGAAACCATTGTTGCAATAGTGAGATTGTTAAAACTACTCTGCATATTCAGGTTTTAAAATTTTAAAGTGAACACTATTAGTGTCTTCCAGCAGTGCTTTCCATGCTGTTTCTGAAAAGTATCTTGTAAATTTCCAGAGTGTTTGAACTGACATTATTTTGTCCCTCCTGTTTTTCACTGGAACTGTCATGGATTAGTATAGTTTATGGACTCATTTATGTGTTTAAAAAGATGACAATTTAAAGGTGAGACCAGTGACTTCCACACACATCCATAATCCATATGCAAGCAAAACGTGTGTGTGTGTGTATGTGTACACAAATCTTATCATTCCTTACTGCTTTTTTTTTTTTTCCTTTTTTCAGTTAATATGTTTTGGAACTCCTCCCAAGGGCTTCCTCATTATTGTTACTAATGGCATTATATAGATGTACTTTAATTTATTTAGTAAAGTTTTTATTCATGGGCATTAATTTTGCTCAAAATTTCTATTTTTACATAAAATGATGATGCAATAAAAATATGTTGTACATATTTAGTTTATACATATTTGTATATATTTCCAGAATAAGTTCTTTGAAGTAGAATTGCTAGGTGAAAGGATATACGTTTATAATTTTGATGGATTTTGTCAAGTAACTTTAAAGAGATTGTCAGTATATGAAAAGTACTGTTTTCTCCATGTACTGTCTACAGAGTATGTTATCAGACTTTTTACTCTTTGACCCGGCTTGTTTGTTTTTTAAAGAGGCAGAATCTTGCTGTGTTGCCCAGGCCTGGCCTCAAACTCCTGGGCCTAAGATCACTACACCCAGCTCTATTTGACTTTTGACTCTCTCTCTCTCTGTCTCTCTGTCTCTCTGTCTCTCTCTCTCTCTCTCTCTCTCTCTCTCTCTCTCTGTGTGTGTGTGTGTGTGTGTGTGTGTGTGTGTGTGTGTGTGTGTGTCTTTGTAATCAGACTTTAAAAAATATTTATAAAGTGAATGTTTTAGCTGGGCTCGGTGGCTCAGCCTGTAATCCCGTGCCTTTGGGAGGCTGAGGTGAGTGGATTGCCTGAGCCTGCGGGTTCGAGACCCACCTGGGCAGCGAGACCTCATCTCTGCAATAAATCAAAAAATCAGCCGGGCGTGGTAGCACATGCCTGTAATTCCAGCTACTTGGGAGGCTGAGGCGGAAGGATCGCCTGAGCCCAGCAGGTCGAGGCTGCGGTGGCCGGGAGCGGCTACTGCACTCCAGTCTGGGCGACAGAGTGAGACTCCAACTCAAAAAAAAAAAAAAAAAAAAGTGAATGTTTTAAGGTTTCTGGATTTTATGGCATATTTCAATACTTTTCTTTTAGAATGTCTCTTCATTTCTATTGATCTGTCTTTGCATTTAGTACCATTGTTTAGTTTTCTAATATATTAATAGCTAATTCTGTCTATGGCACTGCTTTCTTTTTTCCCCAGAAATGTTCTAGCTTTTTTTTTTTTTTGCCTGTTTTTCCAGTTGAAATTTAGAATCAACTTTTCTCATCCCCTACCCTCAATCCTTTGTCATTTTTTTGGGGGGGGAGATTGCATACAATTTGTAGCATTTAATAATTTAGGGAGAATCAACAAGAATAGGGTATGTCTTTCCATGAATTCAGGTTTTGTGTTCCACTGGAATTTTTTAATGTTTCCCTCATATAGATCTTATGCATTTATTAAGTGTATTCCTGAGTTTTCTGTTAGTTATAAAGTGTTACTTTGTTATGTCTTCTGACTGCTTGTGTGTATGTATGAAGGCTTGTGATTTTTGTATATCAGTTTTGTGCTTTGTCACTATACTGAATTCTCTTAAGGTTTGGATTGATTTTTTAAACAGTGATGGCTTTACTGTCTTTAATTTTAAAGTTTGTGCCTCATGTTTTTCTCTTTTCTGCTTACATGTCCCAGTATATCTGAAACTATGCTAAAATGATAGTGGTGATAATGGATGTCTTTGTCTTATACCTGATCTTAATGAGAATGGTTTTAGTTTCTTGCACAAGTATGATGCTTGCATTTGGGTTAAAACTGGTAGTTATGCTAAGAAAGTATTCATCTAAATAAAAGGAGTGTGTCATCAAAATTGGATACTTTTATGGATACCAGATTTTTATCATTTTTTTTTTTTTTGCAACAATGAAAGTGGGTTAATTTAGACCTTATAATATCAAATGATTTCTTTTTCATTTCTGATATACTTGATCATTATATATTTTTCTTCTATTGTGCTTCTTATGTATTTATTTCTTACTAGCCATGTTGGTATGTTGGTAAGGAATATGACCAGACAACTTTTAGTGGATTAGAAATTACTTTGTAATTTTTGCTATGATTAGTAATAACTCATAATCCTTTTGGGATCAGTTTCGTATTAAACTATTCTTTTGGATATTATTAGTAAAATATTCATTTTAAAAATTTCACTGGTTATTGTAGTCATTGAGTTTGTATGTGAGAAGTGATTTAATGTCATACAGTATGAGTTTTATGTCACTTAGTGTCATACAGTGTGAGTTTCTGAAGATATTTTGATGCCCAAAGACTTGATTCACTACTGTGTTACCAATGTCTTTGTCTGCTATAGGCTGATTATACCCAAAGTGTTGGTGACATGTTGAATTATCACTTTCATTAGATCATAAGTCATGGGGGCATATATTTTACTTTTATTTATTTATTTATTTTTAATAATCAATATTTTTATTATGATATTGTGGGGTACAGCTAAGGGTTAGGTATACAAATATGCTTTGCTCAGGCACCCTTGTTGATAAGAGTTGTCTCCCCGTCCCCAGACAGATATTTACTATCATTAGTCCCACCTCCCCCCCCATAGTTTCCCTCCACTGTCAGTCATTTTCTTATGGTAATATGTTGGATGATCAAGGTACACTGTATGAGTGAGAACATGTGATACTCAGATCTTTGTTTCTGTGAGAGGTCACTCAGTATTATAGACTCTAGTTCCATCCAGGTTGCTGCAAAATTCATGATTTTGTTTTTTATGGCTGCGTAGTATTCCATCATGTATTTGTACTACATTTTTAAAATCCAGTCCTCTTTTGATGGACAGTATGGTTGCTTCTAGGTTCTTGCTATTGTGAATAATGCTGTGATAAACATACGTGTGCAGGTACCTTTTTTATGGAGTGATTTGAGTTCTTCAGGGTATATTCCCAGTAGGGGGATTGCGGGGTCATATGGGAGGTCAATATTTAGAGCTTTTAGGAATCGCCACACAGCTTTCCACAGAGGTTGCACTAGTTTACACTCCTACCAACAGTGTAAAAGAGTTCCCTTTTCGCCACACCCTCTCCAGCAACTGTTCTTTTTGAGTTATTGGTAATTGCCATTCTGACTGGAGTTAGGTGGTATCTGACTGTGGTTTTGATTTACATCTCCCTGATGATTAGTGAGGTTGAACATTTCTTTATGTGTCTGTTGGCTGCTTGGATGTCTTCCTTTGAGAAGTGTCTGTTCATATCTTTTGCCCATTTTATAATGGGGTTGTTTGTTTTTTTCTTTTCAGCACATTTGAGTTCCTTGTAGATCCAAGATGTTAAGCCTTTGTCAGACCTGGAGTTGGCAAATACTTTTTCCCGGTCTGTAGACTGTCTCCCTGCTCTCTTGATAGTTTCTTTGGCTTTGCAGAAGCTTGTCAGTTTAATGAGGTCCCACTTGTCTATCTTCTCTCTTATGGCCTATGGGTTTTGGGTTTTGTTCAGGAATTGGATGCCAGTTCTAATTTCCATGAGGATATGTCCTTCATTTTCTAAGGTTCTTATGGTTTGAGGTTTTACATTCCATTTGGAGTTAATTTTTGTGTATGGGGATAGATCAGGGTCCTGTTTCAATCTTCTGCATGTGGTCAGCCAGTTTTCCCAGCACCATTTACTGAATAGGTTCTCCTCTTCCCAGTGGTAGGTGGTGGAGGCTTTGTCGAAGATGAGTTGGTTGAGAAATTTAGGTTTCACCTCTGGAATCTCAGTTCTATTCCATTGATCTATATGCCTGTTCCTATTCGAATACCAAGCTGTTTTGATGATTGTAGCTTTATAGTAAACTTTGAAGTCTGGTAATGTGATACCACCTGCTTTGTTTTTTTTTTTTTCTGACGATTGTTCTGACTATTTTTGGTCATTTGTGTTTCCGTATGAATTCCTGTGTTGTTTTTTCTAGGTCTGAGAAGAATGTTGCTGGTAATTTGATGGGTATTACATTAAATCTGTAGATTGCCTTAGGTAGGATGGACATCTTCACAATGTTGATTCTTCCAATCCATGAGCATGGGATATTTTTCCACTTGCTTGTGTCATCTTTAATTTCTTTGAGCAGTGTTTTGTAGTTTTCATTGTAAAGGTCTTTCACGTCTCTGGTTAGGAAGATGCCAAGGTATTTCATTTTTTTTTGTGGCTATTATGAATGGAATTGTGCTTTTTATTTGGGTTTCTGTTTGTTTATTATTGGTGTAAAGAAATGCGATTGTCTTTTGCACATTTATATTATATCCTGACACTTCGCTAAAGGCCTTTATCAGTGTAAAGAGGTTTTTGACATATTCTGTTGGGTTTTCAAGGTACACGATCATGTCATCTGCAAAGAGAGATAACTTGACTTCCATTTTTCCTATTTGGATATCCCTGATTGCCTTCTCTTCTCTGATTGCTCTAGCCTGGACTTCCAATACTATATTGAACAGGAGGGGTGAGAGCGGGCATCCTTGTCTTGTTCCAGTTTTCAGGGGAAATGGTTCCAGTTTTTGTCTGTTTAGGACTATGCTGGCTGTGGGTTTCTCGTAGATGACTTTTACTCTTTTGAGGTATGTTCCCCGTATGCCTAGATGTTCGAGGGTTTTTA